ACGCACGCACGCACGCACGCACGCACACACGCACGCACGCACGCACACACACGCACGCACGCACGCACGCACGCACACACACACACACACACACACACACACACACACACACACACACACACACACACACACACACACACACACACACACACACACACACACACACACATACATACATACAGACATCCGTACGGAAGTCCACGTGAAATTAGTCAGAATTTACTGGGATCTCAAAACGTCGACATCTGATGAAAATTCGATTTTCAAAAATCGGGGTGAAACCAATAACTTCCCCTATTTTTGAAAATTTTCAATTTTCTTGGCGGGAAGTTAAAAAAAGAGCGAACTTGAGAAATTAAATAAAACTTGAATAATATAGATTTTTAAATTATCTATCCATAAGTGTGATTCTCAAATGATTAGAACATTGCCTTTAGCAACAGATGCATGTAATCAATAATTTTAGTCATTTATTAAATATCGATTTTAAGTGTATTTATGACATATAAAAACAAATTAGAACGTGGAATGTGATGATAAATTGCGAACATTAATAATGTACTTTTAGATGTTGTTTATTTCTCATAACTAATGAGATAATAGTCTCCGAAAAACGCACTATTGCAATGTTTGGGTCGGGGTTGCCTTAAGGTTTCATATACCTAGAACAGAATGAATGAACAGAAGTTCTTAAATTTATGAACGAAATACTAAATTTAGCTAGTGAAGTTGTAAGGTGACTCTTATGATGCCTTGCATATAATGCGTTGAGATCCGGTATTGAAAAATTATTCGGATAGGATTTATCCATATGGGTTGCACACTAGTCGTCGAGTGCATGGAAACTCGTTATGAAACGGAACTGTTACGAAATACAACCGGCTCACACACGGGCAGAAATGCCTACGGTTATATTCTTTAAGTTGCAAACACTGATAGCTTGAGTGATTTATACTGCTACATTAAGCAAACATCTCGATTTTCAATTTTTTTTTTCTATTAATGAGGGGGCGAACGAGTATGCGGCTCACCTGATGGTATGTGACTACCGCCAGCCATTAATAAGCGCAACACCAGAGGTATTGCAAGTGCGTTGCCGGCCTTTTAAAGAAGGAGGCTCTTTTATTGAAGACGTATCAATTATTTAATTTTCCTCCCAAAAGCTATACACGTGAGGAAGCAAATTTCAAAGATCCCAGAGTGGTGGACCGCCTAGCATTACGATGGTTTGTTGCGGATGAGGTCGATAATTTTGTCTGAATGAGCGATGATGAAACTAAGCGACTGGAATTAATCTGAAGTTCCTCGGGCTAACCCTATGAGCAACAACATAAATAACGGCTTCCAGTGCCTGGCGGTTCTCACTATTCCTGGCTATATAGAGTTGAGAATCTAAATGTGAGTGACGTATCACTGATTTGAATTTTAAAAATGACATGTTGAAGTTTAAAAAAATATAATAAATGTACATGTAAATGTGTATGTAAATATATATATATATATATATATATATATATATATGCGTGCGGACTCAGATAAGTAATCACATCACAATATTTACGAGGAATACTTCTCACAGTTCTAACTTCTAACAACAGAGGTCACACGTACTGCAATTTAAATAAATTTCCTAAGCTAAGATGTTTTATTTTCAATTAATATAAAACCGTTTTTAAATCATATAAAAACAATTAACTTGAAGTGCCTCGATTTCACCGCTTTCTTGTGCATGAGTACCAATGAGCGGAAATTATTTAAAATTTTATGTTATTTGTTACTACTTCAGATAAATAAAAATAACGAATTATAACTTTATATTTTAATGCCTCAGTAGTCATCACAGTAGTCAGGCACTTAAATTTACAAAATTTCACTTTGCAATTATTACTGGAGAAATGTGCAACAATGGATTCATGAAAACTTCGCTGATATGAAAGACAAAACAACTTTACACTTTACAAATATGTCGCCTTTATGTACTAGGAAGTTACAAATGTCTTCAAATACTGATAAACTGGTAAGACATTAATGTAAACTGATAACAACTGGCAAGGTCAACAGTGAGAGATGCCTCTTGTAACCTATATTATGCGTTTGTTTACATTTGAACTCGTTACTTTCTAGCAAATGCGACTGGTTGTTTTATCGCCCCTTTCCATGCTTTTCCGAGAACTTCTTGCATCGAGCACACGCGGAACCCTCAGTGTGCGGCCGACTGACACGTTACCGAGTGCCCGCAATGCGACCTCATCAACAACGATCCATGTCCCGCATGCTGTCGTAGTTGAGACCATTCCTATACCATGCGTAGTTTCTTTTTATTGTCAACAAGATTACTACGGAACGAAATTTCTGTGAGTCTAGATGTCAAACAATGGTTAAACTTAAGTTGTGAAGCGATACACTTACAGCGGTTTCATACGCTGCTGTTTACCGAACTATTTTTCTTACACGATTTCTAAATGGATATGCAAACCCATGTGGGTTACACAATACGATAAAACCAAACGCACTAAAGAAAAAGTTTCGTTTTTTCATCAATCTGAATCACAAAACGCAATTGCGTTCTACCGGATCAGAAAATTAACACACAAAACGTATAATTGTTAAACACTAGATTTTTAACGAAAACTGCTGAACTGCATCTGCATTAGAAAACCAAATCAAATAATGGTAGAAATATAATCTTCAATTTACTGCTCAACACTTATTCTCATCTTGTGGTTAGAAAAAATTGTCGTAATCACCAAACTTTATAAACGAGTTACCGACTGACACCATTTTATTTTGGCTAAACAAAAAATAAGACCCACTATTTATATATATATACAACATGTAACATAATTAACGCACTTTGAGAAAGTAGTTTGTTCAGAATTGTTTACTGAATCGATTCCTATCATTTTCAATATAGGTAATTTTTTATCGCAAAAATAATTAAAACTACGTAAATTATAGTCACATTAAATCTGTACAGTCAAAACAAACTGAAATGGACCGTAACTTAAGCCAATAAGACTTTTAAGAGTGCAGTTTTATTTGTATTATTACTAATTCTGTCATTCAATAGAAATAAAGAAAAATGAACTTGATTTCAAGCACGTTACAGTCTTTGCGTTCATGGATTTGTACTGTGACCACAACATTCTTCCGGAATTAATATAACTAATTTGATAAATAATCAGTGCATAAAAATGTTTAACTAAAAATTTAGTGTATGTATTATGATTATAACATAATATACTAATTGGGGTGTCTGAGGTTGTGCGTTAATTACGTTACATATGTATATATATAAAGTTATAAGTCAAGTACTGAATATCGTAATACTAGAGAAATTCTTGTTATACGCTATATACAAGTCTTGTAGACTAGCAGATATAAAAGTCATTAAGGGAGCTGAGCCACTTGCAATCATGGACATGTCAATAATATATCAAGGATCTATAATATAGCACTGAGAACCATTCGGTCTTATTTTAAGGCTTAAAATAGGTGTTTCGAATAGGTCAAATGAAATATTTTGAGGTTGAATATGAGAGTAAAAAAGAGGTTACGGAGTAATAAACGTTCGAGCAGATTAAAAGTTCATTATTTTTATGCGACGATTCTGTTTTTATTATTTTTATGCGACGATTCTGTTTTTACTCGTATATCAAGTCTTCTTAAACGATGTTCTTTATTTGAAGTTAATAATTGTTCGTAATAACATAGTAAATTTTCATTTTATATTTTCTTTAATATGCTTTTGATAATGAATATATCATTGCTTATGGGGTTTGCAGTTATTAGGCATATTTTTAGTGATAGACTTGTGAATGAAAATATATTATTTTACTCGTCACTGCATTCAAGTATTTCTAAGATCCCATTACGTTCCCCAATGACCTAGACTTTCTAGATCGTTTAGCATTTTTATCAAATACAGAAATTCATTAACAATCGTTTGCCTCAGTTAAAATATTCAAAATTATAAATGTAATAACACAATACGTAAAATAATTTTATATTACACTTAATAAATGAAAATTTTATATAACTTTTAAAATTAAAAACTGGCATATATTTTATAAATGAAATGAAATTAATTGTGAAATTAATACGTATTCTGCGAGGCGTTTGAAATGGATACTTGCATAATACAAAACTGATAACATTTTGGTTAGTTATATAAATATTTCATTTTCGGTTTTAATTCAATTGCATTATTCAGAGTTTTTTCGGGGCAAGGAAAGAAGTAGGCAAGAGTGAGCAGGTTTTTTCAATCTGTTAATAATCACGTAATAATTAACAAAAGATTAAACGAAAGAAAATAAGAAGTTTATCTATTCTACAATAGTAAACCAGAAAATGCCCAGTCAAAATTAATAACACAAAATATCGAAGTTTTGGACTTTTTTTTTTTCCAATTTTTTTTTTATTTCGAATTACTTTCTGGAATCTCCGGGTGTGCTTTTCAACTTTGATTGGTGTTCTGAATCTTGGGTTCTCACTTTTTGTCTCCTCTGGCTGAACAGAGTCCTACCATCTTGTATAATTTCACACCTATTTCACAAATATTCTATTATAGATTTCTTCTTTAAGGCATATGAATAACTCAATTTCCGTTGGAGCGAAACTTTTCGAATTCAGTATATAAAAGTTACCAATTAGTGACTAAATCACAAACAGTATTTGTGATTTTTTTTAAGGAAGGCTGCTAGCATGACTTCCGCCCAGAATCCTCCCAAAAAGTGCTTTAACTCTGAAAGTATTAAGTAATTTTTTTTCTTCCGTTATTAACTGTCACGAACTCGTCACAAAAATTTTACATCGTAAAATTTTAGTTATATTTTTGATAGGATTCGGATTTGAAAAAGGCAATTTACCTACCCGAAGGTACGTGTCCTTAAGTTTCCTCGGATTTTATTATTTAATTGGTAGTTAGCAATGCTATCAAGCATGTAATGCAATCCGTAACTAGTAAACAAAGTGTGCAAAATGCAGCTGTTGTAACTTACCATAGCTTGCTCGATCTTGTTGTCGATTGCCACGGCGCTGGTACCCGACGCACTGTGAACAATATGATTTTAATTAGTGATAATATATAAGGTAAAGGTGCAATTTTTTACATAGTAAACCTTACATAATATAATAAATACGGTTTTAATTTTCACTATTAAAAATTATATTTAACATTATTATTTTTTTGTTATCTCATAACAAAACAATAATGTTAAATAACGCTAATAACAAAAAAGGCCAGACATTTGCCGTAATTGGAACGCTTAACTAACGGCTAACTGGGTTGTGGTCGCAGTTTTAGATCTTAGCGTATGCTTTCTTTCTTCAGGGCCAAAATGCTGGATCTGAAATGCTCGCCGCAGTGATTAAGTTTGGCATTTTTTAATTTTTTCTTTCTATTTCGAAAATTATTACTTTTCCTGGCATTTTTTCTCCCCTCTTTATTGTGTAACTTGTTTGCTGTTAGCTACTAACACGTATGACAAAAGTGAAGATTTTTTACGCTGTCACCACACGGCGGGGTACAGAAACATAATAGCGTAATGTAATATCTACTAGTTTATACTTAATTAAATAAAGTTACCAATTAGTGACTAAATCACAAACAGTATTTGTGTTTTTTTTTAAGGATATTAAACTACGAGTGAATGCAGGAAATAAAGTAAATGGGGCTCTACACTCTATTGTGAAAAGTCAGAATGTGTCAAAAAAGGCACGTATGGCAAATTCACAATGCTGTATTAGTCCCTACTTTAACGTACGGTAGTGAAAGTTGGGTGTGGCAGAAGAAGCACGAGAATAGAATAAATGCATTAGAAATGCGGTCGCTAAGGAGTATGTTAGGGCTGAATCTGAGTGACAGGGTGAGAAACTGTGTGATAAAAGAAGAGTGTGGTTTGCAAGATGATGCGGTGACTAGGATTAAGAAAGGAATGCTTCGGTGGTTTGGTCATGTAGAAAGAATGAATGCGGAAAGACTGACAAAGCAAATATATGTTGCAGAAGTGAATGGGAGAGTCGGAAAGGGACGTCCTAGGCGGAAGTTTGTCGAACAAATTGGCGATATACTAAAAATGGGCCAAATTAAGAGTACCCTTAACCGACGAACATGTATGCGTAGGTATATGGATGTGGAAGAGGCGAGAGAGGTATGTCAGGATCGTGCTAAATGGAATTCTGTAGGTTTTTTTAATACTTAATTATAAAATAATTAAATACAGTTGCTTATATCATAGTATCTAAGTATGTTTTTGGAACAATACGTTTATGGCTCGCTCAGATCGCAACTCTTATATCGGCGAAGCCGACCCCGAACGTCGTTTGTACCGAACTTGGCCTCCTTTTCACATTTATGTTTTGGGTGAGATATCTTTAACGTTTGAGAAAAGTTTTATAAGTTTATTAACTTTATTAGATACTTGTTCTCCAAAAGTTTTTCTAGCGTTTACGCTTTACTATTTTCTTTTTAATTTTGCACGCATAGTCTTACTTGAAACTAACTTCAGCAATAACTTAGTCGACATTTTCGACACTGATTCTTTAATTTTCAGTATTCAGACTATGTCCTCAGTGAAGTGGCTTAACTTTTAGTAATAATTGATAAAAATGACACTTTTCACACCTTAATAACTCAAGGAATATAATAGGATCATTCATGAAATTTGAGGGGTCCTTAATAGCCAAAATAACAAGGATAATAGTTTTTTGAGTAATGACGGGTTCGAAAGCGCTTGAAGTGGTTCGTGTAAATATAACACACTAACGGTCGCCCTTTCCTTTTCTGAACTTGGCAGATACACTGTCGTGTTTGTGTCTAAATGTTAATTTTTTAACACATACACATTTAATAATTTTTGTAAATAGAAAAAAATGTGTTATTTATACATAGTAATAAATGTAAATAAATCATTATAAACAAGCAGCACATTATTCAAAACACGTCAATAGAAATTATACATGTATAGTTAACACATCCAATTCGATTGAAGCAAAAATTCGCGTTCAATGTAAATCGGTTAAGCGATATCGAACGGACCTAAATTTATCTCAATGTAACTTTGAGTTGAGTTCTCTCGTGTTTCGAATCGATAAATTTAGAATCGGAATGCGTATATAATTCGCCTTATTATTATACGCAGCCGCTATTTTAAAACCCATAAAAGCTTAGCCTAAGAATGCATTTGCATACGATGGTGTTTGTATTGTAAAAGGTGATTGTGTCAAAGCACCATAATTATTACAATTGATAAAATTTACAAATTCGTGGACGGACACGGCTCAAGGATGAATTTCCGTCCATTGCTGCGCGGATGATTACACTAATGTTGGCGGTATGCATAAATATGGCAGAGGAGACAAATTTTAGTTTGATAATGAACGCTTAAAATAACAGGATTTAAAGACAAGGAACAATTCACGATCGCATATTACTTTAAAATATACCATAAAACATATTACACTGTGCATAGATAGTAAATCTTGGATGAAATAAAAGAATAAAGCCAAATTAAGACCACATTCATGAAAGCAAGTGACAATAATTTTTGCTTATTCTAGCATTAATCTAAGATAAATAATATCATATAATATCATGAACATATAAAAAAAACGTGAGTGAAGCTACAAAGATGTCACGAGAGCCCAACGTTGTATTTCGCTACGTACCGCCGAAGAATGACGATACAGTCTACTTCGCGGCAGCTCGAGACGCAATTACTGCTGGCTATTGCCGGACTTATCCATTATGATACAATCGTCCCCGTAATCATCCGGCAGCAATATGTAGCACATTGTGCGGCTACGTACTTGACTTTCTCCGGCCTCGGGTTCCGAGTAGCGTCAACGAGGTGAACAAAACAACGCTAAAGTTAGAGCCACTGAAGCGTCGATAACGAGCGTGGCCGCGGATCGATTTCGACCAGTCCATTATTGTACTCTCGGATATTAAATAACGACCGTGGACCGCATGACCGCTGACGCAACTGACGCCTCAGTACACAATGTTCAATTCAGGATATCTTGTTAATTGCAGAACATACATAATGACAAATGAGCACATGTCAATAGAAATTAGTATCGGATTACGAATATTTTCTTTGAAATTTAACTCTACTTGGGGACAATAAAATAAAAATTAAAACAGCTTTCTCTCGCTGGATGTGAGTAAAACGAGTTTAGTGTTCCTCAAGTTAATTACTAAAGGAACGTAAGGTAGTAGCAAATTAGAGTTCGGAAAAAAATGTTGAACTCGTAAGCCTAAGTAAGTTTGACAGATAAAATTTAGTAATTAAAATAAGGTAAGGTGATGAAGGGGCATTGAAAATTGAAGATAAACCTCCTGCATAACATGTGGTGTATCTTGCTGACTGATACACCAGGCTTTGGTAACCGACTGATGGCGCAAAATATATTCATAAGCGCAAATTTCACAGACTCTTTAGTATGAGTAAATCTTGAATAATGTGTTAATTTTAAATAATGATATGTTGATAATGATTATCACAATCAAAGTAAATACAAACATTATGATAATAATGCCTAACAGGAATTAAAAACCACTTTTAGTTTTTTTCATTTCTTAAACTATTATGTTGTATACCATGCTTAAACCTACGAATTTTGTAATAATAACAAAACAAATTTAGTTACTGAAATACATAAGTAAAATTATCACCACTTATAAATAAAATAAAATTTATTCAAGCACTGTGTTGATATCGAGAAAACCACACAAATTAAAATACTTTCAAATTCATCAGACATTGCAAAATTATACGATGCTATAAAAAGTTGACTGGCGTGACTTTCAAAACCAATACGTGAGAGACTGTTTGTTGCCAAATATACCTTTAAGCCTTAATATGTGCTACTCGTAGTTGTAACATATTAATTTTGGTATGCTGTTTAAAAGATTCATCTCCAAAAAGGTTTATGTAACATTTAAAAACAGGCAAAGAGTTGGTTACACGAAACAATATGACAATTGGCAGTGCTTAAAATAAAACCTTAAAGCAAGTAAGCATTTGCAATTGTTGTCTAGGCAAAGCAGCTGCTTCAGTGACGAACAAATAGTATGCTGTATAAGGTACTCAGTAAATATAAGAGGTAAACAAAAGAAAGATAAGGGCTTTGTCACCACGCACGTGCGTTATTGAGAACAACGTCCCTTAAGCAGATTTTATTATTTTTTTTATAACGATTACCTCAACAATAGACTACGAGTATAATATCAGGAAATTTCCTTTAAAAGTTTAAAGTAAGAACTAGGAATTTAAACTAAGAATTTTCGATGAGCGAAAACAAAACGTGTTTACTCTCCTCATCCATGCTTGATTTAATGTCTTAAAATTTCCCTAAATAAATGTATATAATTGCAGGGGCACGAAGGATTAATTTTTCTTATAAAGGTGGGTCAAAATGTTTACTTTTAGTTCAAGAGGGTAATTTCTAAAGCTGAATTCTATCCTGATACTAAATTAAAAAATAGCTGTATGTTTATGCAGTTTTCGGAATTTTTTAAACGTTTTTTTTAAATTACATTTAAAGGAGTTACACACACAAAAACTAAAAAACTACCATCTAAACAGGTTGCACAAGCAGTAACGCTGAAAAATTACAAAAGCTGACACAAGTGACTGTTGTCCTGAATATAACACGTTCATCAATGCGGTATGCCTCAAAAAGATACAAGGAGACTTTTCTCCCAAAGATTAGGTTGTGGAGAGGTTTCTTTTATAGAATAGGGTGACAAACGAGAACATAGTCCAACTGATGTTAAGTGGCTGCTGTGGCCCATAGACATCTACATCTATCCTCGATTACGAATTAAAACGCAGATGCGTTGTCACCCGTCAGGACTAAGATGGAATGCCTCGTTTCCAGGAAAGAGGGTCTCCGGTTCTCTACACTCACCATACGAAACACAGCAGCATTAAGCTACTATTTCACGCTGGTATTCTGTGAGCTCCTCCTGCGAGGTCCTTCCCCGGTCGAGCCGACACATTCGTGCTACAACTATATTATTAATATAACTGCAGCATGGCTCTACC